AACGTGTAAAATATGTGACGTCATTTTTTAATATCTATCAGTTAGTGGTGGACCAGGGTCTTAGTGTAGAATATTCTTACCTATATAATTTATTAACCTTTCATGATACTGTAATTCGTTAAAATAATATATTGACTTCGGTAACACATAATAGAGCTGAAATTTAGAAAACCATAATACAAATAAACTAAAAAAAATCATCACGAATTTAATATCAAGAATAATAATGTTGAAAATAAATAATGCTCGCTTTTGAAATTTAATTATCCATTCAAAACCTACTCTATCCGCTGCGAACCAATTGACTTAATTAATCTCTTTTATACTACACTTAAATTTTGTAGGTCAAATTAAATATCTTAATAAGCCAGTCTCTCTTCGCGTGACAAATTTCATCAAAATTAAAACCAAGATGAATTTATTTTCCCAACACTTTAGTTACATTTTAATTAAAGAAAAACTTCTAACTAAAGCATTCATAAGTGAAATTGTGACTTAATACATAAAACCATTCAAATTCATACCAAAAACAAAAGACAACCAGAAACAAAGCAACATAAAACCATAAAAAAACAAATGCACAAGCAATGAAAATTAGCCATTTAACCATTAAATAAAAAAAAGTAAACGCAATTATATATTTAAATGCAACTCAAACAGCATAAATATGAATATTACTAGAGTTCCGTGCGAAATGCACGTGCTTGTTTCATCTGAACTCGGCTCCAGCTATTTGCATATAACACATTCAAGAGAGAATTTCGTTTAACACCCTTTTAATTCAAGACCAAGAACTATACAAACTAATTAAATTTTATAGCTTGTTTTATATTTAATGTTACCATTTATTTCCTAATTTTTAAGTCTATTACTAGACTAGAATAAGGTTATTAGGGATTAAAAAGTTTTGATAAAATATATTAATAGACATCTTGTCAAGGGCCGAAAAACAAAAGCTAGTTTGGTTGAATTGCCTAAGAAGGCAGTGAGTTCGTATTTCACGACTGTTACATGTATGAGCCATACATACTGTGCCGACCCTTTGTACCGACAAGAACAAGTTAATGTTCTTGATTAGACTTTCAAAACAGACTTCAAAACCACCAAACGGTAAACAAAGGTTTTAAATAAATGAATCAATTACCAAGAAATGTATTTTATTTCTGTCGTATTTTAAAATTCCCGTACAAAAGTTCTTTCAGCAAATCTTTAAACATTAAAACTAACGTAGCTGAAAATGTAATTGTGATAAGTAATTCCCAGTTGGCTGCGTCAGGCGTGCGCTGAACGGTAAGTAATAGTCTTAACCGGAGAAATGTTCTTTAGTGTCGTTTTAAACAACGAAATACAAGAATCGTAAACGAATGAAATCATGAAATTCACTTCATTATTTTATACACGATGTATTTCACTTTGTTATGAACACATAAATTGCTAGTCTACGCCCGAGATTCCGTCTACGTCAAATTAAAAAAAAAGAGTGTAGACTATGAGTTCTTCAATACTATATTTTTTAATGATTTACCATAAAATAAAAAAGGACAAAAGAATAACATAGTTTACAAGAAAGTCCCATAAATTAAATAGATCTAACAAAAAACGTAACAATTTTATGAAGACAAGAAAAATAATTTGCAGACTTAGGAACTTAAGTTAATTACAATCTAATAAACTTAAGTGAAAGCTTCCACTGCAATGTCTTTTGCCGAAATTGCAGCTAAAAATAATGGTACAATTTTCTAATTGGACGCGTCCAACTGACTGAGAATTGTCAGAAGGTGACCTATTCTTGAACGATCGCCGGCGACATATACTCACAGCCAAAACACGGAAAAGTAATTTAGTCGAAGACGAGGATAGAGGAAAATTCATTTTATTTTCCTTTTATTGTACTATCACAATTTATATATTTTTTTTAATTTATATTTGTAAATGAGATGCTAAAAATATTTTTATTAAAAAAGTCAAATATCTTAAATTAACTTTTTACTATTTTTAATTAAATAAAGCCACTACTTCTTATTTAAAGTAACCTCAATATATACTTATATCTACTATTTGCTAAAATGTTAACAACAAATGTTAATTACGCTAAATCTTACGAGGATAAGTACTAATTCTCGTAATATCTGCACGAAAGGAAATTTGAAATTGTGGTATTGAGACTTTATAATATCCAAAATTGCTGTACTGCCTTCTCATTGTAATAGAAAATATATATCTGTTTTTTCTCTTACAATGAGAAGGATCTTTCAGATTCCTACAGATCTTCAGGCAGTGAAAACTCACACTTATACTCAATTAACTCCATACATATTGACAATGAATCCTAAAATACCAAACGTGCGAATGTAATACGAACATTAATTATTGTTACGTAATATTTTCATCGCAATGCAATTTTCTTCTTACACATTACCGCTAAATCGAATTACATTAAACGATTCGATTTCACGGTCGAACAATTTATACTCCATATTAAAACATTTATGTAAGCAAAAATAAAATTAAACTTTTCTTATTAAAAACAATTAATTGAACAAAATTTGGTTGTGTTGTGTGAAAGGTGACATGATCAAGAAGGGAGTGATGACTGAGATGACGGATGATAGAGTGCTTTGGAGGACGAAAACCCGGTGCGCCGACACTACGGGAGTAGGATAAAGCAGGGGAGATGATGATGATGATGAAAATATTGGTTGTGTTAGAGGACAGTTTAAACACTTGGTGAATACTTCAATAATTGTTGCGATAAAAGTGGAGTAGGTTTAACCCCAGGGTCCATAGATGACCTTGCTAGGACGTTGAGGGTTTATAAGTTAAAACAGAAATGTAGCAATTTATCAACACTAAATCTAGTAAAATTTAAAAAGACTTCGAAAAGAAAAACACTGAATATGACTGACTGGTAATCCTGCGAATTACCATCCTTGTAAAGAACTATAAATATATAGAAATATATAATTAAATAACACAGCCTAAGCATTTCAAATAACTTTCAAGTCTTAGTAAACGATTCCATTAATTGAACAGCTCCAATCCTTTGAGCTAGAAAATGGCTTTGAAGAGAAAATTACACAGCTATCCTAGATCTATAAAATAGGAAAGTAATTTAGAATAAGAAAGTAAAACCTAATTTCTAAATCTAATTAACTGTTATTTTACAATTAAGACACAGGCCGGTAGGACTGAAGTACTTCGTTCTTTATTTAAAAAAAAACTAGCCGTATCCATGCGACTTCATCCACATGAAATTATAAAAATTTCATTTTATTGTTCACATTTGTCAAATTATTAATTACAAATGTCAAAATGACATAACATGACAAACCTTGACAATCTTGTTTCCTTGATGTTGGCAGCGACTTATGGTCTCTTTCCCACATTAGGGTCTTTATCCAAAATATTTATCCCAAGTTTAACGACGTGAAAATATAGCCTAAAGCGTGTCGTATGTGTAGGGACTTTTATTAAAAAGAGTTATTCGAAAATGTGCTGTAATTGCTGACATCTTAGGCAACAAAGAAGTGTGAGTTTACGCTTTATTATATTAGTATAGAAATGTTTAAAAGAAACCTAAGCAATTTATAAATACTTATTTAGACAGTGATTGTACTGTTTTGTTAAGCATTTGAGAATCAAAAACTAATCTTTCTCAAATTTTTCGATTTATTCTTAAACAAGTTTTCACCAGTAACTCCACCCGAGCAGATTTAAAAAACCTTAATTAGTATATGTGTTTTTCCAGACTATGCTTTACATCTATGCCAATTTTCCGATCCGTTCAGCCGTTTAGTCTAAAAACACTAACATCCATCCATGTAAACTTTCGCATTTATAATTAATAAGAAGTAAGGTAAGGTACCTCTAGTTGTTTTACCATATAAACAAACAAATCGGCATATTTGTTACAAAACAAATAATGACATTCATACTGATTATTATTCTCGACTCGTTTCCCAGTCATCCAATTAGTGTGTGAAAACGATTTTACCGGACTTAATGTAATTAGTTTGGATGGAGGGAGTGTGGAAGGTAATTTTATTCAATTATTTATCAACGACTACATTATTAACGTTATTACTGTGGATGGTGTTATGCAACATACCAAAATTAATTTTAAAAATTAGATCTCCTCGTGTTCTGTAATCTATTTTAAAATATTATATTAATAATATGCGTTTTGAAAAAAAAAAACATCACAAACAAATCAAATTTAATATAACACAAAACTCACCTTTGGTAAAATGTTAGTAATAGTCATGTATAATGTTGATTATTTAACATAAAATAATAGAAAGTGTAATTTTATCATAGCAATAATAATCTGTTCTACTTTTATAATAATGATACAACAAGTTAGCCAACAACGGTGATTTGGTTTAAAAATGGGCCTAATTTTGTCTAGCTGTAAAATTATATCTAAGGACGAATACTAGGTTTTTTATATATAATGCAGCTATCTCTTCACTTTAGTTGTATCTATGTTACATATGCGTCTCAACATACATTAGTTTTTGAATAAAATATAATGACGATACGAATAATTCGCTGAAAAGTATGTTATGTGTACACACAGACGTCACAATAATCCTGATTTGATGAAACATGTAGTTATTAAATAATACTTAAAATTATAAATAGCTTAGATAAATGTAGCGAGTCTACAAACGGACACACAATTAGCAACAAGATAGACTTTCTTAAGAATGTCTCGTCACCTGATCATCGTACACCGCAAACAAAGACATCCGCAACAGAACGACAAACTGTCAATACAAAACAATATGATCAATTAAAAAACAAAACATTTCAACATTTAAATAAAACAATAACAAACAATCGGATCAATGAGATCGATCAAACGAATGACAATCAATTCACAACATAAAATATTTATACTTCGAAAATAAAAAACGTATGATTTAACGGTGAACAATTTAAAGCGAGCTATAAACCAATGCAGCGGTCCAAGTGGTGATAATTGTCGATTGAATTTGGATCGTACCCATAACAATCGGCGCGCGAGGCAAAACAACAGTTGCCCGTTTAAAACAATCAGTTGGACTGCAATATCCACCCACGCAAACCGCATCCATGACGAACTTCGTGTTATATTTATATTTAAAGTGAATTAAACATTTTAAACAAAATTAAAATTAATCTCGCCGAGTTTTAATTGGCATAAAATTAAACAGATTAAAAATTCAATTATTTGGGAAACAAATGCCGGAATATCCGGTAGGATGTTAGTATTAAGTTGAAATGTGATGTGGCATTAACGAACGGAAATGAATCGCAACGTGTTCATAGCTTTTATTTGCACATTTCTTGCCGTTACTTTTCAGGTAAGTCCAGTTTACATTTTTTATTTATAGCCAAACGGATGCATACTGGCGGTCACGTGATTTCGGTAAAATACAAAAGTTACCGTTGCTTAGACATCAGCAATGAGTAAAAACTTTGCAGATAGGAAACACGAAATATTTTACTATAATTATATAAGTGTACATGGCAACATTTAGCGGTCCATAAATTCTGCCAACTTTTGTTTTAAAACGTTAACTCACATCAATGGTAACACATGTTTATTTTTAAGCTTTAAATGTTGATTGTCGTCTACATAATTTTCAGCGAGTTTTGTGACGAATTTATTCATACCTTTCATATTTTCATTTTCACATTTTTTCATTTTCTAGTTAGATCTTCTTTAAGAGATAAACAATTATTTTTCCGGTACTTGTAATAGATTTATCATTACAGACTTTTCTATCACAATACATTTATGAAACAATTGAAACTAATTAAACAACAAGCAAAAAGAAAATTCTTACGAACGTTTTATTGTCGAATATATATTTTTTTCAATTAACCGGCCAGTATGTAAATAATGTACAATTTATGAGATTTATTAATTCGAAATGTTTTGTGAACATTTGATTGAACTCAAAAACTCGGTCACTTTACATGTGACCGAGTTTCCGAGTTCCCACTACACGAGTTACAAAGACTATTGGTAACCCTTACAGCGGATTTGGGTTACTTAGTTGTGGGTTTATTTAAGATGCAAGCAGGATTAAAAGTAAGTTAATTAAGCATCAGATATCTTCACTAAAATTATAAAGAGGAAAGATTTGTATTTTTGTATGTATTGAAATAACTCAAAATCTATATTATCAATGAATAGCATAGGCTTCATTTTTATTATTTTTTTTATTAATTCAAATAATGTTGTTGTCTCCTATTTTTAAATTCATGTTAAAAAAGTTAATATATAAACACACATCCCTCGGTACATCAAACTGGTTTTGTATAAGATTACTTTGGTAATTCAGTCGCAAAAATCATAGGTTTTTAGTCCTAGTTTGAAAAAAGAAATATACTAAAAAACATAACAGATTTTAACATTTGACCCCGTTGATTAAAATGAAACAAATGAAAATTTATTTCCACCACTATGTTTTACGTACGCTTGTATAACATGCCAGTTAGATTGGTAAAATATCCAAACGCAAGGAACAACACTATTTAGTTACTGTAAGTCCTATACCTCTGTTTCTGACATAAACGCGAGCTTAGGATTCTATGAGCCTTGCCGTAAAAAACGTAAACAGTGTTTAAATACGTTTTAGGCGTGCGAAATTCTTTCTTTACAAATAAAATACTTTATAACTACATTTATCTGTGTGTTAATACTTATTTATGGCGAAACTTATAACGATGTTGTACTTAATATAAATAAGTGACAGTCAAGGCGTTCAACACGTGCTTAACTAAACTGCATCTTATTTTTTTTTTACATGTTAATTTAAGAGTATTTGTTATGACTTGCAGACGACAGACTTTCAAGACAACCTTATCAATGGATATAGGACATTAATTGCCGACATACAAGTGAGGACGCAGAAGTCTAGAGAAGACATGGACACTCTAGTGTCACAAATAAAATTACTCATGAAAAACGAAGCCGATAAAGCTATCAATTATATGACGGTCTATCTTGAACAAATATCTTTATACTTTCAGGTAATATAACAATTATAAAAATGTACACAAGACTAAGGGCCTGTCCCACCACTGGCTGATAGAGGCTCAGATAGCTTAAAAATAATGTCACTGTCAGATAAGGGAACAAAATCCGATATTTCCATCACATATTTTACACGTTGGATTGTTATCAGACAACAAAAAAATTACAATTTGGTGGGACAGGCCCTACATTAAAGAAGAAACTTTATTTAGAAATGTTACAAGTTATTTTCAGTTAAAACAGAAAATATGTCTTTGCTGGCTAAATTTATGACCCATTTTAGTTATTTTTTTAGTTACTACATTACTTTGTTCCGTAATGACTTCCTTAATCCATTAAGTTGCTAGTTATAAAAAGAGCACTTAATTTTTCTCAAAGAAACCTAATTTCCGCTGGTCAAAAGAGAAATGTATATTTTTTAACGTTTTAAGCGTTAAATCAACACCAAAATAATCGACGCAATTAGCAATTAAAAATGAAATTAAAATTCCATTAGTACCAATTCAAGCGATAGCATTTATTACCAATAAATAAATATTGTTAACACTAAACTCTAGCAACATTACTATTTATTAGTTAAATAAACAGTCACTTAGTAAAGATTAATAAAAATGGAATCGAAATGAAGGCACTCTCTTAGTAACAACTATGAGTATGAGAATTTTATCTTTTTAATTTTTTTTTCCTTAATGTTGCAACTCGAGTTGCTTTATACAAACAGCTTTGTATGTTAAAGTTTTAGAGAAATGTGGCCAGCGGCCTTCCATCCAACTTTAACAATCATGTTACCCACTGTAACAACAAACTCCTAACTTAGAACTAGTTACTACATCCAATTATGAAGACACAATACGAGTGTGTTAGAAACTTTTTAAATTCTAAGAGCCCGTCCCACCAAATTGTAAATTATCTAACAATCAAACGTGAAAAATATGTGATGTAAATATTCAAATTTGTTCCCTTCTGACAGTGACGTCATTTTAAGCTATCTGAGCCTCTATCAGCAAGTGGTGGGACAGGCCCTAAATCTATAAAATCTACAAATGAACTCAAAAATAACTGAATTAATTTATAATTCTACATTTTCTACTATAAAATATTATGATGATATTGATTTTTTTATAATCTTTTAGATAATAATTCACGACCGCAAGCCGCGTAACGGAACGTACTGTAAGGAAAGTATTGTGAAACTTTTGGGGGAAAATTTACAACTGGCTGATGAGAACGTAACGTTATGCCTTGCTCTCGGATATCAAAGGGTACAAAGGCTACCAGGTAATTGTTTGTTTTTTATTATTTTCGTAAGACTATTAGTAAAACAGCAGTGTTTTTTTTAACTTTACTTATATTACTTTGTTTTAAGAATTATTTTAATGATATAATTTAATCAGCCGAATTTTAAAAGTAAATCTAAACACTTCGCTTCGAAGGCACTGCTTACAATCTGACAGAAGTAAGGATATTAATAGAAAATGGTGACTAATAATTTAAAAGTGGTTTCTGCATTCAGCCGTCAAAGAGTTTCGCTTTTGTGCGAAATTGGGAATTTCTAGTTGAATTTATATGAAATGTGCCTACTAGCTTCATTTATCTTGTAATTTTGCATACTAAAGTGTGTCTGTTCCGTGTGCTTACATATCTGCAGGCGAAGTATCATTGTTAACCTACATACAGGCTTCTTTATTTTGGGAGTGCCTTCCTTGTTTGCGTTACGTGTGATACAGTTCGTAACAACACATGATGTATTCAAAACATTAGCAACGTTATACAATAATAAATTATACAACGGAGTCTTGTCAAGGAACGACTTGCTCTATGTTAAAATATGTAATACAGGGTGTGATTTAATTATTTTTCCTATTTTTAAATGGCTAAATACTTTAATCAGAAAAGGCAAAAGTAATTTTTTTATATCCTTTGCTTAACGCAAAAAAAGATGAAATACAAAACAATAAAACTTGTATGGATTAAACCTATCAAAATGATGTTCAAAATGTTATTTGGCTATGGAATAGGCCTAGTTATAAATCACGATTTTTATTTGCAAAAGGCAAAATTTACTTTAAAATTTACTTTAAAATAAAAAACAGCCAGTTGCTTTTGGATTTGTGAGTTCACGGCTTCCATTGTGGTGTATTCCAAATGCCTCAGCCAGAGTCGAAAATGGGTACATAAGCCTTGTATTGAAATAATACCGTACTACGATTACATTTAAATTGTATTTGTTTGTGATAAGATAAACAGCCTTTCTATCATGCTTTTCACAATGATACTAAAGTACTGATACGATATTTTACAAATCCATTAATGGACATTGTCAATATAAAAGTATAAGTTTAAATTGTTATAATATAAACATTATTTTCATTACAGAAAAGCTACAAGTCCACTTCGAAACTCTGGAAAACTTAAAAAAATATTCAGCATCAAAATTATTCGAATGCCAGAAACAGCAGCAAGTTGGTGGGAATTGCTCTCACGAGAGTCAAGACCTCGAGAGGACAGTTGTAAGTAACAAGGAACTAATTAGTCCTTTGTATTCGATTAGAATAAGAGCGATGCCACACGAGCGGTGAGGGTACGGTACGCAACAATGGTACTGTATATGTCTTTAAAAAACAAAACGTCTAATACAGAGGGTGTTAAAACATTTTCAAGTCTTTCTATTGCTTGTCTATTGTTATTAAAATATGTAATTGTGAGTAGAGTTGAAATTATCGAATGATTCATTGAAATATCAGACAATACGGTACTTCACCGCACCGCAACCGCACATGTGCCACCTTTATAACAATTTAAACTTTGCATTAACTTTTTTTACAATGTTTCAGTTTCTGTACGAAACATCACCATTTCCTGTTGTGATGGCGGAAATAGCTATACACGGGTTTAAAGAGGTATCAGATCTGAGTGTTTGTCTCAAAGATATTATATCAAGAATGATGACTCACTCCGTCAAAGTGATAGGAGACTTCAATAGATGTATCCACAACATTGAAATGCCTAAGTTAAAGTATTTGTTGAAATTCATGAAGAAATATGCGTAAACCAATAAGGATAAAAAGCATCCCATTTTGTACAACCTAATCAACATTAATTAGAAAAAACCTTCTGTACATTAAATCTTATTAATTTTGAACTAAAAGACTTGGAAAAAAAAATAACTGTGAAATAAATCCAATAAAACTCAATTTTAAAGTTTAGATTGTACTTAATACTTTAAGTATCTATTTGTAGTATATAAAATTTATATTAATATACGTTATAAGTATATTTAAGTGTAATTTATGTAATTTTCTGATTGTCTCGTAAAATAAATGTTAAGATTTGAAATAAGCCAACTTTATTATTCCTTTAGTGAAAATTGCTCTCAGCTCTGACGCTTCTCATGTAAATACGTCTGTGACATCTAAAATAAGTGCAACTCCTGAATTTCAAAGTAAGAGGAATATTCCAATGCAGATGTAAATAAAAACAGACTTTACACGTGAACTTACTTTGTGAAGTAATACATCCTACATTTAAGCTTTTAAGATTACACTTTCTTAAGAATTATGTAGACAACCTAAGTAATTTATCGGGTAGTGTTATTTGTAATAACTGGGTCCATCATCGTATAAATCTTCCGCGACCCTGTGAATTAATTTCTAATTCACCACAAAAAAAAATATTGGTGTTACGTACGTAATGTGAACATGTAAAATTGTTGAAGCGTAAATCGTATTGACAATAACAGGCAATGTTATGAAAATATAAACGCCGACAATGAAACGCATCTCCAATTTCTATAAAGAAAGCACGGAATGTGTAACTCACCAATATTATAATGACATCGGTCGAACAAGGTTGGTATTTTAACAGCCGACTAAATCTCAATGTCCGTTGAGCCATCGTAAGCGGACCCACGGGTCTAGACATGTGTATGAGCGGCGACGGCGGTGGGTGAGGCGGCGGCGTAGATACTGGGGGAACACTCCTCCTTACAGTCTCCAACGGCATAGT